ATCGCATTCTGAAAAATGGTATAGAAGCGCATAGAAATTTATTTTTTACAAAGCGCATATAAGAAAAAATAAGAATTTGGGTCAACGGCCCAAAACGGAATATTTTAAAAGTGTTGCAATGAATGGTTATGTTTATAGATAACAACTCGTCAAAGTTTTGTCGCAATCGCGTGAATGGAGCAGGAGCGCATACGGTTTTAAATTATATTTATATAGCTCGTATAAGAAAAAAACTTAAATAAGACCGCTGGCTCAAATTGGAATATTTTGAAAAGTTTATAATAATTTAAAAAACATTTGCGGCTATGCTTCTAACATCTCACCAAAGTTTTAAGTTTTATTGCAATCGGATAAATGGCTTAGGAGCGCATATGAAAATTATTTTTTACAAAGCTCATATAAGAAAAAATACGAATTAAGGGCCAACGGCCGAAAAAAGAATTTTTTAAAAGTGTTTAAATAACACAGTATAATGCACTGGCGCATGGACAACAACTCACTAAGTTTTGTAGCAATCGCATGATTGGTGTAGGAGCGCATACGGTTTGAAAATATATTTATATAGCTCAAATAAGGAAAAACGAATATGAGGTCCCTGGCTCAAAACTGAATAAATTAAAACGACTGTAATAATTGAGGAATGTTTATGGACATGCTCGCGCAACATTTCACCAAAGTTTTATATGAATTGAATAATTGGCGTAGGAGCGCATGTGGAAAATATTTTTACAAAGCTGATATTTGAAAAAAAATGAATTAAGGGCCAACAGCTAAGAACGAAACACTTGATAAGGTTTCTAATGACTTAGTTAAATGGCCGGTTATGTTGACAACATATGATCGAAGTTTTGTTGCAATCGCATGAATGGTGTAGGAGCGCATACGAGATATACAGACATACAGACATACAGACACACAAACATTCATTTTTATATATATATATATAGATAAGTCATGCTTTTTTGAAGAAAAAGAGTTTGCAAAGAGATAGCACATATGTAAAACGTAACGAAAACTGTATTAAAAATGCAGACCTTGATGTTGATGTCAATGTAATTGTATAGCGTGCTTAACGACTTTAAACTTGTGACGTTGCAAAAAAAAAAAAAAATTAATAAAAAATACCAAACAAGCAGTAAGACTTTGGCTCATAATCAGGCGCGGTCAATTTTAGAAACAGTACGGTATTTTTAAAAAATGCAAACCTTGATGTTGATGTCAATGTAATTGTATAGCGTGCTTAACGACTTTAAACTTGTGACGTTGCAAAAAAAAAAAAAAAATTAATAAAAAATACCAAACAAGCAGTAAGACTTTGGCTCATAATCAGGCGCGGTCAATTTTAGAAACAGTACGGTATTTTTAATCTATTAGTCTAAGCCTCTTAATTAAAAGATTAGCCTTAAATATACTGATAATCAACATTATAGAACCTAGCGATAGTTCAGTTTTGTTCCAATATTTGTAATCGGTAAATGACACGAGTTTATATTCATTTTAACTTTGATTTAAGACATGACCTTCCCACCCCCTGAACTCCGAGGGTTGCCTGAAAGAAACACCGGTTACAAGTGGAAGACAACTCAATGCAGGAACAGTTACAAAGAGTTTTTCCACTTGCGTAACTTTGATGCCCTGTTGATCCGCGACCACGATTTCACGCTTGGCCTAGTCACAACTGGTGTGGTTGCAGCCCCGTTTCCAGAGCTCACAAAATGTCAACAAACTAAAGTCCTGGATCTTTTGCATTATTTAAACTAGTGTAGTCATTCTTTGATGACCTATCTTTCATTAGTCTCGAATAAAAGGATTCAGCCCTCATAACCTTGCTATGTCTGAACGACATGCAGGATGGGTACTTGATGACGACATCTGGGGTCACGCCTGAAGCTGACGTCTTTCGATCCGCTACGGGCTCCTCCAAACCTCGTCCTGGACTTCCTCCATGCGAGGCCAGGTTTTTATACTCAGCAGAACCGGAAGTTTGTCTTTCCAACGACAGGTTGACGTAAAACTTGTCGGGATGTTCTGACGGAACAAAAGGAATCGATGTTTGTGTCTGGAATTTATGTCTCAGCTGATGGTAGATGGCATCAAAGTCAGGCCTCTTGTCGGGATCTCTATCCCAGCATCGCATCATCAAGTCGTACCTGCGAGTAGAGTGACGTCATTATACTTTACTAAGACGTTAGATAATTTTAACATTTGAATTTCAAGTATGAAACAATAATAAGTGTTGGCCGTGTAACATGTGCACCGATGCAAATATTGTGACATTTAAATTTAGCCTTATATTTACAAAATAAATTAAACAACATTTTGTTCTAATATTTAGCGGCAAAGACAATGAAATATATGTGTCCAGGCTCATATACTTGAGTCATAAATTGGATGCTAGTGTAGCCTACGTCTTTCACTATTCTTGAACAATGTTTAAGTTTATAATCCCTGTAATTTAGTCAAAGTAGTTTACTAGAAAAAGTTCCTCGGCGTCATATCACCACATTCTATCTAACTGTTGGTAGGTGTCCAACCAATCATCTCATCGCTTATTTATTATTTTATTTTATTATTATTTTACTGTCATACCGTTTTTATCACATTACATTCTTCCATTGCAGGTCACACATTATTCCACCCATCTTCCCGGCTAAGGCCAGCTTTGAAAATGAGATATGACGTGCCAACAATGAGATTTAGCAATCTGACGGGGCGGGAAAACGTCTAACTTTAATTTTAGCCAAAAATCCAGTTTTCGTGATCAATATTAATTTGAATTTTCACGTATACAAATATTTGGGGTTTTCGGAGTTATGGTTATACTTATGTAAATGCACCCATGTTTGTCAACGCCCTTGAACGATAGTTTCTTAAGTAATATAACACGTATTTATTTTTTAAAGTAAAAGTAACCCATCTTTTCCACGACTCTAATACCATTGAATTTCAAGATAGCGTCATCCAAATAAAAAAAAATGAACTCACTTTGTTGAACACCCCCTCCCCCCTTTTTTTTAACCCCCAAGGGGATTTTAGGAAGACGGTTAATAATTTATCAAAATTTATTCCTTCTTTCTTAGGCGCATCTTGTGCTGCCTGGGTCAACAAAAAAAAAGAGTCTCAAATCCTCTGCCCCCCTCCCCCATACGTTTTAAATAAACATTAATAAAAACATCTACGGCTAAGGAGCCCGTAAGTACGCAATCACACTTTTGTCGATTGCCCCCAAAATTTATTACAATTCTAGAGACCAAGCACCCTTTTACTACACATTGTTTTCCCACACTTTGTTTTACCTCACATTGTTTTCCCACACTTTGTTTTACCTCACATTGTTTTCCCACACTTTGTTTTACCTCACATTGTTTTCCCACACTTTGTTTTACCTCACATTGTTTTCCCACACTTTGTTTTACCTCACATTGTTTTCCCACACTTTGTTTTACCTCACATTGTTTTCCCACACTTTGTTTTACCTCACATTGTTTTCCCACACTTTGTTTTACCTCACATTGTTTTCCCACACTTTGTTTTACCTCACATTGTTTTCCCACACTTTGTTTTACCTCACATTGTTTTACATGTTCTTTTTTTTTTTATTATTATTTGAGCTTTATTTCGGTATAGTGAAAAGTTTATTTTAATTTTTTGGTCTATTTCGGTATAGTGAAAAGTTTATTTTAATTTTTTGGTCTATTTCGGTATAGTGAAAAGTTTATTTTAATTTTTTGGTCTATTTCGGTATAGTGAAAAGTTTTTTTTATTTTTTTTATTCAACATTAAAATCTATCCAAAAGTTCTAATCTGTAACACTTTTGGGTTTGCTCTTTTTTGGATGAGTGATAAGTGAAAGAGTGAGTGCTATTTGACTATGTAGTTTAGCTGCACTAATCGACTTAAAATGCACTTTTTTAAATTAAAAGTATCTTTCAACGTTAAGTTTTATTCATTTATAAATTTGATAAAATTATATTTTTGGATTTAAAACTATATAAAAACATATTAAACTTTGTAAATATAAAGCAAAAATATGGTGTGTTTGGTTAACAATTTAAAAAGCAATCAATTATATCTATTAATTTTACTTTTAAAAAAGGAAAATACATGATCAGTTTTGTCATTTGTCTTAATTAAATCAACGAAACGTAATGCTTTTGATTACACGTTTTCATGTAGCTTTTATGAAATTAAGCGAATTTTACTTTATTATTCATCAATCGAAAAATCTTACTTCAATAGAGTTAAAGTCATTCGGATATATTTAATGTTAATTTAATTTCGAAATATTAACAACACACTAAAACACCATCAAAGACGTTTGGGTTTTTCAGGATAAATGAGATTATGATTTAATAAAAAAAGTAGATGTAGCTCGCTAAACATTGGCAACAGCAATGCCTTAACTTCCCATCTACTAAAGTTAGATTAATTCACAAAACATTTGCTCAAGTAACCGACATTTAAGAATCCCACTTTTTGCTTCACGTCCTTCCTTCCACGTAACTGCACAATTATTATTTCACGCCCATGAATCATTAATATTGTAATGTCCCAACCACCTTTAACACGAATATCAATTACACCATAATTAAAGTGAGACGAATTCATTTTCCGAAAGAAAAAAAATATTACGCACCAAACGCAGTTGTGTTGTTATTTTTTAAAATCATTTGTCTTGAACAACGCCATTTCCCATACTCAAATATACTCACAAAATAAAAAGCATACAAAATAATCTCAGACCAAATTCACTGATTAGGAAGCAATCGGAAATGAAATCAGTTCAACAGAAGCATGATATATATAAGATATATAACAGATCATTCTTAGATCATAATTTATTGATAAAAATGGATACATTTAAAATAACAAATAAAAGAACTATTTCAAGCATTATATACACAGAATATCGTACCTTCCATATTTGGGTATATATAAAGATGTAGGAGTTATGCAGTACTTATTGAATGAAACAAATAAGACAGACTTGCCAACATTACTTACAGAGAATCAGGGCAGAAGTAAGGGGCGGCTAGTCTGCTATCTTGTAAGAACCTCACGATGTCCATGTCATCGACGCAAGGGTACGGAGTCATCCCCCGTGTCAGCATCTCCCATAGCACAACGCCGAACGACCACTGGAAGATTGGGTTGAAAGATACTCACAGAATTATATTTAAATAACAGAGCTTAACCAGGTGCACATTTTTTTTTTCAGTCCAGAAAATACACGGCGGGTCCAAGTGTTTAAAAAAAAGGCTTAACTTCTAACTTTCTATAATATTTGTCGGCTCTTAAACAATAGGCTTACAGACAGTGTTACACCCTACCTGCTGGCCTTTATACAATAGGCCTACAAACAGTGCAGCAGACAGTCCTACACCATACCCTCCCTCTTAAGATGACCAAAAAAAAAATCAACCTCTTTACCCAACGGGCAGGCATGACGCTGGCTGCGTGACAGCTTTTTTTTCACTCAATTATATTAATATTAAACATGTTGAGTAGGGGCAAGGCCGATTGTGTAAAGGCAGTAAGATACACCACAAGCAAAATATACCTTAAGAGACTGGTATTATAGAATGCAAGGAAAAACTCTAAAAAAAATTAGTTGTGTTTAAAAAAAACAACATCAAAACTGTTGGAAAGAGAGGAAAAAAAAAGTTAGAAGGAAGTCATGTGTTAGGTTAGGGGTGTCAATAAATGCAATTAACAGGACTAGCCCTATGCCAATACTCATATCACTATTACATTTATAGTACAATGGTGCAAAATAAATAACTATCGATGATGTCTTGCATATGGTGAAACGAATGTTCCTTCAACTTACGACATCCGACTTCGTGCTGTACAGTCCAGTCTCAATGCTCTCCAAGGCCATCCACCTCAGGGGCATCACCACGTTGTTGTCGGTTTTGTAATAGCCCTTCACGTAAATGTCACGACACAGGCCAAAGTCGGCAATCTTTATGCAGTGATCCTCATCTAACCTGAGAAATGACGGACACATCTTTCATTGTAAATCGTGTGTTACTTGTCTCATTGTCGGATTATATGACTGCTGCCTTATACCTAATTAAGTGTGAATCGGTTGCCTTAGCAACAACACGACGGGGCTCTTTTGTAAACTAAGGACCATACCCCTCTACTTAATAGTAAGAATCCTCTTAGATTCTAGACTGTCGTGTTGAACTAAACTGAATGGTGACAAACCTAAACAAAGTTAACAGTGACGAGTTAACTAAACTTAAAAGTGAAAAGTTAACGAAACTTAAGGGTGGCAAATTAACTACGCTCAAATGTGACAAGTTAAATAAACTGAATTTTAAAGAATCTATATTAACTGAATCGTGACAAGTTAAATAAACTGAATTTTAAAGAACCTATATTAACTGAATCGTGACAATTTAAATAAACTGAAACGTGACACGATCACGCCGTACGTACATGCAGTTCCTAGCTGCTAGATCCCTGTGTACAAACTTGAGTGAACTCAGATATGACATGCCGCTTGCGATTCCACATCCGAAGTTAACAACATCCTGTACGCTCAGAGTCTGAAGTATGAAAAAAAAATATCTCCATCAGTATTAATTTTTATATGATATTTTTTTCACGGATTTATTTAAAATTGATTCATTATAAACATGAATACCTACTTTTAAACATATAAATTTTTGAATTGAATGGCCAAATAAACAGACTAACTATTTTTTTTTAAAGTGTATCAACTAACTACTAACACATAAAACAAAATACAGCCCAAAATACATACAACGTGCCACCCAACGTACAACCATAAAATCCCGTATATGACTTAAGAGATCTCCGTTCTCCATTAAGGGGAGGATCACGTGATAGACCCCCGGGTTTTCTTCTGTGAGACCAATAATCTCCAGGACGTTGGGATGTCTGAAGTCTTTCATGATGAGTGCCTCCTTGAGGAACCTGTTTTGGTCAACATCAGTGGTCATGGGATCTGTGAAGACATTACGGGAACCACTGCATGTGTTAGCGTACACAACACTGTCTTACAAGTCACGGGATCTGTTAAAATAATTTGGGAGCCAGTTCATCTGTTAGTATCAGGCAATACTTTCTTATGCGTCGTGGGATCTGTTAACTATTGCGGGAGCCAGTCCATTTGCTAGGATACGCAATACTGTCTTATACGTCATGGGATCTGTTCAACCATTACAGGAGCTAGTTCATCTATTATTATAAGCAATACTGACTAACAAGTTGAAAAAAAACAACGATTCTTGTCGGATCAGCAGATATCAAGTAACAACAAGCATTGAGTTAGTGCCTAGGTAGGCGACGGTCAAGTGTATCAAAACATAAACATGTTGACTGGAGTTCAAAACCCCAGCGACACCCAGGCAACCATAAAAATACCGGAAGTCCAAGTGGATTCAACACGTCAACCTTTTAATGGTGGCTCGTCTTAGAGAAGGAGAACTACGAGACAAGTGGAGCCAACCCATTACGGTTAACTTCCGGAGTCTTGTAGGTGGTACGAGATTGAAAAAAGCTGGCAACTTAAATCAACAACTTTGTGGGGAGGGAGGGGCATTAGCTGACTGGGAACTAGTTTATTCTTCATAGCAAAATAACTGGCAGGGGATCATGAACCTCCTGCAAAAATCAAGCCGTCGTCTGCATGAAATGGATGGAGCTCCCCTCCCCCTTCCACCACAACACCCCTAATAAGCAACATATCCTTGATGACGTTATAAACATTAACCTTGTAAGCTTTTGAGACCTGCCGGCTCACACTTCTCTCCATCCCTTCCCCACGTGAGATTGCACAATTTGGTTGGGCCTAACAATGTAAATTAACCTAGTAACCTTGACCGCGACCAAACTTAAACAATGGGCTCATATAGAGAAGCGTACTCCCGCTACCCTATACTATAGAAGGCAAGACCCAACAGTTCTCACCCTCTTTTGCCTGTAAGTGGCGCACAGACTGGCTGGCTATATTTTTGTGCTTGAGTTTGTTCACCCATATAATTGTCTAGGTTTGTTATCTTTAATTTTCATGTGTTTGTAGATTCAGATAAAAGAAATTCACGTGTAAGATGTTATTAAGAAATGTTAGTTAGCTTATGATTAAATTTGTGAAGTGATTCGAATGTTTAGTTATTTCTTATGTGTTGCATTCCTTGTTCTAATTTTTAGCCAGTCGAGTCCAGTGTAGTTCATCAGTCTAGTCTAGCGTGGTATAGACTAGTGTAGTGTAGTCGCTCATTACACTGTATTTGGAGTCTGTCAGTTAAAGGCTGCACTAATGCTGACATCCGAAATACGAAATTCAAGAATAGATGGATTATAAGGGGAGATAACTTCGGGCTCCCGCAAGAAACGACGGACGTTGGGTTCAAGCCGTTAGGTCTATGAAGTGGCCGCGTGAGAGAGGGCAAACAGACTACTGTGTGTGTGATTGGGTTTATGACGTCATAGTACCGCAGTGGCCGCGTGAGAGAGGGCAAACAGACTACTGTGTGTGTGATTGGGTTTATGACGTCATAGTACCGCAGTGGCCGGGTGAGAGAGGGCAAACAGACTACCGTGTGCGTGATTGGGTTTGTGACGTCACAGTACCGAAGTGGCCGCGTGAGAGAGGGCAAACAGACTACTGTGTGTGTGATTGGGTTTATGACGTCACAGTACCGAAGTGGCCGGGTGAGAGAGGGCAAACAGACTACTGTGTGTGTGATTGGGTTTATGACGTCACAGTACCGAAGTGGCCGGGTGAGAGAGGGCAAACAGACTACCGTGTGTGTGATTGGGTTTATGACGTCACAGTACCGAAGTGGCTGCGTGAGAGAGGGCAAACAGACTACCGTGTGTGTGATTGGGTTTATGACGTCACAGTACCGAAGTGGCCGGGTGAGAGGGGGCAAACAGACTACCGTGTGTGTGATTGGGTTTATGACGTCACAGTACCGAAGTGGCCGGGTGAGAGGGGGCAAACAGACTACCGTGTGTGTGATTGGGTTTATGACGTCACAGTACCGAAGTGGCCTCGTGAGAGAGGGCAAACAGACTACCGTGTGTGTGATTGGGTTTGTGACGTCACAGTACCGAAGTGGCCGTTTGAGAGAGGGCAACCAAACTACCGTGTATGTGATTGGGTTTAATACGTCACAGTACCGCAGTGGCCGTGTGAGAGAGGGCAAACAGACTACTGTGTGTGTGATTGGGGGCCCAACCTGAGGACAGGTAAAAGATACCCCCAGCACTAACCAGACATAGTATTTAGTAATTAGCGGTATGCAGTGTACTTAGTGGTTCTTTCTATTCTTATATTAGGTAATATCTTGTGTGCATTTGATTCGCTTTATTTGTAATTAAATAGTAATATCCGAGGCCTGAACCACAAGTGTTGATATAATAATCTAAAGGAAAAGTAGCCATATACTAACAGTGTGCGAGCCAGATAGCGCCATTGTTTCTAAGTGTGAGAGTGATATTACCTTAAGATATATAATTAGTATATAAATACCTAAATCAATTAAAATTAGGTAACACTGATCAACATGCAGATAGTTATTTTTCAACATTCATTGAAAGTCTATCAACCCATGTCTTTCACCGGTTTCAGCACATAACTCATGATGAGACTCTGTCAATCTTATGTTCTTAGTCTTTTCAACCATTTCCGTGTAAAGTGTAATGATCATTATGTTGTTTTAGCAAAAGTTTATTAGATATCGACCTCACCTCGCAGTGTTTTAACGGCAATTTTTCTTGAAAAGCCTGATCCAAGGTCAAGGATACCGTCATACACACAACCGAATGTCCCTGGAAAAAAGTACAATTCAAAATCTAACAATTACCATCAAAGATCGAACATTTAACATACAGGGACACTTTAAAAATTAAATAGATCGAATTTCGTTTTTTTTTAAAATCTCTAGGAAGTTCGTAAGCAATCATGTTTGTAACCCACAGTTTTGTAACCAATAACGTTTGTAAGCTATCAAGTTTGTTTATCAATCAAGTTTGTAACCAATCATGTCCAATGTTTGACGTACCAAGTCCAATGTGTTTTCCAATCGTCAGTCTTTCAAACGGAATGTTCAGCTGATCCATGTCATCATTTTGGTCTTTTCCAAACAAGGCCGTCATCATTTGCCCCATTTCTCCCTGGCTTCCCTGGGCTAAGAGGTTATTTCAGTCACAAATATATTCTCACATGAATGATTAAACACTAGACAGCATTATAATAGAGTTAAAGAGTTCAGGACGTTGTAACCCAAGTACGAGCTATACGAAAACTGCATTGTGTACTTGTATCGCCCAGATGAAATAACGAAAGTCTTTCTAAACTTTGCTGTAAAGCCATTTTAAAGGAAAATTTAATTTTAAAAAAAAGAACCACCCCCCCCCCCTAAATTTTTGTGTTCTGAAGCTAACTTTCCAAAGCTGAAAAATGGTCAGATTAGGTTTAAAGGGAAATTACTGATAAAAAACAAGTTACTGTTATTCTCGCTTAGCCTAACCGCGTTTTATTTAGATCATTTTGACTAATGACCTATGTTAACAGTTAATCTACGTTTTTATTGTCCCTAATTGATGAAATATATTGAATTAACGTTTCAGAAACGTTTTTTATCAAAAGTACTAGATTACTATACCATATAATCATTAACATAGCATACATGATAAGACAGAATAAATCATACAAAACATTTAAAAATTAGCCTAGTACTGTACATAAACCGAAAAACTGGGACCATGGCAGATGAACAGATTAAAAAAAATAAATATATGTACACAAACATTTCTTGAACTGTTTGTTCATTACGATATACCCAGGCCACAGACACAAAGACTTAAATAAACAACACAGCTATCAAGATATCTACAAACTTTTAGCGGGTGCCCCTCTCTTGAGCTGCACCAATGCTGACGTCATGACGAGGAGAGCACATACAGCAAGAAATACCCACGCTGACATGGTGGCCAAAAGAAACAGACTGAACTTTGCTTTAGCGATGATCCCAGGGGCTGCCAGCGACACCCAGACGTGACCAAGATCCTGTTGGTAGTTTCCAATCTGCACCTTCACTTGGTATTTTATGGAATGGGAGTTATTGAACGGATTAAAGCGAGCTGAGTCTATCGTCTCACGGACAGAGTTGTTCAAGGAGATGTTCATTAGCTCTTTGAAGTGTTCAATCAATACCGTAGCATTGCAGAGAAGGGCATGTTTAGAAATCTTGATGATTGGACAGGACACAAGTCCAAGGCTGACATTAAAGTATGTCCAGTTGATGAAAGTAGGGATGTGCTTGCCCTGTTGGATGGATAAATATCCATGATTTACTGATGAATATCATTGTAATACAACAAATTAAAGTTAACAAATTTTAGTCGTAATATACATAAAAATATACGTAATATACATAAAAAGGAAACACAATTTATTTTTTTAAGGCTTAGTGTTGTCAAAACTAAAGTTAGAAGAAAATCTTGTCTAAACGCCATCTGTGCTCTATATTTCAAACATACGCTTCGATGCACACAATAGAAAAGAATTTTAATTGTACTCAAATAAAAAATATGGCTGATATATTATAAACATGTGAATATATGCAGTGGAACCTCTCATGACGAGTTTAATTCTCGCTTTTCAATGATTTTACGTTTCATTTCAACAGTTATTTTTTTCTTTTATGATTGTCTTCTTGTTTTTTTTTCTTAGAAGACATTTTAGCACGGGTTATTACACTTTGCACATAAAAAAATTACGAATACTGTCTGAATACAAAATTTGTAAAAACTGGTGATCACACACGAACTCAATACACTAACAGACCAGAAGTCCCGCCTCACAAATGAATGTCAGGAAAAAGTGACTTCCCCTTTCTGCGTAACTCGTTATGCGAAATATCGCTCGTTAAGGGAGCAACTTCTTCACATTTTTTTTGTGCTCGTTATGGGAATTACTCATGAGAGGTGCTCGTTATGAGAGGTTCCACTGTATGTGTTAAGAACGCTTAATAAATAAATCTATATTACCTATACGCTACTGATATTTCATTTAGTCCTAAAATTATCATTTTAAAGACATATGAAACAAAAGACGTTATCAAAACTTATAATCAGGGATGGATCAATGTATATTATTCTCTACTTATGAAAGAAAAGTTCATGCAATGAAGAGTTTTCAAATGATGTAATGTTGATGTTATGCGCTCAAAATAAAATTCCCAATAACTGTTCTAAATAAGATCGTTAAAAATAGATCAAATTCTTTTAGTTTTATAGGGAAATTAAAATATCTCATTTAAATATGATATAATACATTTTCTGTGCAAAAAAAAAAGGTTTTGGACATCAGATTTAAATGCAGATCAGAGGCGTGGAAACTAAAGTATTTGCTGGCGTACCCTGTGGAAAGTGGGTTACATTTATTCCATCCATCCGATTCACTGTGGCGCAACAGTCCCTATAGGGGCTTGTTCCTACATTGCTCGGGATTCCTAAAAAAATTGGGTTTCTTCTTCTTCTTCTATATCTTAAGGGCCCACAATAAATTTATTGATCATTTTGGCTCCTATGCATGTAGATGGGATTTGCAATGTTTCTGTTACTGGTGGTGATGAGGAAATTATGCACTAGGGGTTTGAAGGCTGGAGGCAATAGACACAAATGTGTCTAGTGTTGTCGCCTCAACCATTCCTTTTGAAAGATGGTTCCAATCCCTGATTGTCTTGGGCAGGAATGAGCAGCTCCTATACTGGCTTCTTGCTGGTAGGAGCCTGAATTGCCTGTCATGGCCTCGTCGCTGTCTATGGGGGAGATGGACGAGTTTCTGTTTAATACTGGAACAGTGGACCAGCGCATTATTTATCTTGTACATCATGGAGAGCCTGGATTGTCGTCGTCGTTTCTCCAATGGTGACCAGCCTAGTGTTTCTAGCATGCTGCCAACACTAGAGGTATTCCTGTAGCGGTTTAGGACAAAGCGTGCTGCTCGTCGCTGGACCGCCTCCAACCTGTCAGTGCACGTTTTGCCAAGTAGCTACAGTAGATGGGAAGTACATGCATTGCTGCTACTTTGTTTGCTATATAAAATAGTTAATAATAATGGTATCATCACTCGTAAGAACATGTATTAAAAAATATTTCTATCGTCAACTTACAAATAAAAGAAGAAGTGGCTGATGATCAGACAGATGATAATCTTGTGAGATGTTGGAGAATATGGGATCACGATGAATGGTCAGAGAGATGGGGTTGCCGCTCGTCGTGTTGGCAAAACACTCGTTGCCGACGAGCAACAAGGCGATCGCTTCGACTTGTCTAGAAGAATTGTTCGGTCGAAAGTATGGCTGAGTGATGCGTAATACATTCGGACTCACGCACATCACACGTCCTGAAGTGATGCTTTCACTAAAGCATTTACCCTTTTCAGACTGTCAAATAAACAAAGAGTTCAAAGTCCGGTATTATTTCCAACAATATGACCAGCAATATGTCCAGCAATATTTCAAGCAATATATGTCCAGCTATATATGCCCAGCAATTTATCCAACAAAATACCCTGCAATTTGTCCAGCAATATGTCCAGCAATATGTCCAGCAATATGTCCAGCAATATGTCCAGCTATATATATCCAGCAATATGTCCAGCTATATATTTCAAGCAATATGTCCTGCAATATTTCCAGCTATATATGTCAAGCAATATGTCGAGCAATATGTCGAGCAATATGTCGAGCAATGTGTCGAGCAATGTGTCGAGCAATGTGTCGAGCAATGTGTCGAGCAAAGTGTCCAGCAACATGTCCAGTAATATGTCCAGCAATTTTTTTTTTTTTTAATAATTTTTTTTTGTACAGCAATATGTCCAGCTATACATGTTCAGTAATATTAACAGCTAAAAATGTTCAGCAATATGTACAGCTACATATTTTCAGAAATATGTCCAGCAATATATGTCCAGCAATATGCCCAGCGATTTAAACTCTCTTGTTTATACTTGATGATAATGTAGGCACTAACTAAACAAACTGATCAGCGTTGACATCGATAATAGTGTTTGTAGTTTGTGAAAGTACTTACATACATAATACGTGTAGTAGCGTCAGTGTAGTTAAGGAATAGATCATAAGACACAGAACTTCTCAAGTTGAAACCCGAGATGTTCAAGAAGATTCCGCCGCTGAAAAGAACAGGATTAAGAAGATGGAATCAATTGTTAATTTAAATTTAAACAAGAAAACTGTTAAAATATAAAATATAGAAAATACAAGGCGATTGATTTTGTATCCATTTATTAAATTTGTACGTGGGGAAAGCTGTTTTTTTTAAAGAATAATTATTTAGGTTTTTTTTAAGGTTTGCGTGCGATTAAAAAAAAACGAGTCTGTTTAAATTGATAAATGACAGGATAACTTTAATATTTACATGAAACGCTTTCCTTATTTTTCGTGTATTGATTTTAAGGAAATACAACACAATAGTCTCTTCCAAAACACATGTAACAATTATCCAAACAACTATAGTTTTAAATGTTTTGGGATGTGAAAGTACGGTAAGTCTAGTGAACCATTTTTAGACGTTTCTTTTAACGATAATCTACGTCCAGACATTGAGAGACAGACGTAAGAGACACTATTTTAAAAGAAATATGTTAATTACTTTCATTACATTGACAAATGTTGCGTCAAAGACTTGTCTTTAAACGATTCAAAATTTACATTACGCGTTGCTACGTGACATTGTTGCAAAGATCACTTAGGTGTTACATTACCTTTGTATAGTAGCCGCTGGTAGTATGGAATGAATGCTAGGGTCTGAATCGAAATTTGAGTTGCAAAATGTTGGAGAAACTCTTTCAGCTTTTAGTGACTGTAGAATTGTTGAAATGAACAGAATAAACTAAACAAATTGTAGAATTGAAGAAAAAAAACTAAACAAATTATAGAATTGAACAGGAGAAAGTAAACAAATTGTTGAATTGAACAGAATAAACTAAACAAGTTGTAGAATTGAACAGAAGAAACTCAACACACAGTAATACATAAAAATTAAAGAATTGCATTTCATTACTTCCCCACAAAAAACGACACCCGATAATTAAAATTTAAAGCTTTTAGTTGACAGTCTGCCCCATCAAAACGACACATGATCAGTGAACTTCGTTTCAAAGAAGAAAAGAACATTTGTCATTATCAAAATAATATTATTTTAGAAATCTACAAATATAATTCCCTGGTCGATCTTGTCCACCCCGCTCTCACTGCTCACTGTGACGCACACAACAGAACACATTCCGCAATAATTTCTCTGTTAGGTAAAGTCATATGGCTTTGTTTTTTGATAGGTTTTAAGATTTGGATCGTTAGATAAACAATATGTAAGAGATGAATAAAAAGCAGAGGGAAATATGGACACCAGACACCAAAGTAAGTGATAATAACAATGTTCAATATAATAAATCTTTTAAGTTTATTTTTAAAAAAACATAATCAACTATACAGATATAAAAACAAAATGAACTTACAGCAAGGGAAGAAGTGAAATCGTCGAAAATATTCGTACAGACATACACACACACAGAATACAATCTGGTAAGGCTTCAGTAAGTATATTAAGTCTCGTATGCGTATAATAAGTATAGAAAAAAAAATCTCTACCTGCTGGGAAAGTTGCCGACTTTTTTTTTTTTGAGGGGGGGGGAGTGAATGGGAATAATCTCTACGAGAAATTCTACAAATTGCATCACACGATAGCATGCTTTAGAGCAAGTTAAAACGTAAACAAACTTTCCCCAATCAAGCGTAAAATATTTAATCGGTGACGTCAATATGCCCTCCCCCCCCCCAAAAAAAAAAAAAAAAAAAAAAAAAATGGAGATTTGTGTAGAGGCTACATCGCAACGTTGAAGCAAAAATTAAGTCAAGACACAGGCTATAACATTCCTTATTTAATTTTGAACGTTTTTTTCCAAAATGTATTTGATTCAATACAACTAAGCATTGGCGGATATACGAAGCGCCATCTGGAATTATTATTAAAGATAATGTATCTCTTCCCGTTTTTTTTAGATTGCGACTTGGTTGCGTTGCCCAAGCTACTTTTTAATAACGACGTACAAAAATTAATGAAATCTATTATCATGAACGAAAAAGAATTATTCTTAAGATCGATCATTCATATGTCCAATACATATAATCTAGCTTAGTTCAATTTATTGTTTTCAAACTTAAGTCTTTCTTCCCATATTTTGATTTTCACAACATCAGGCATTGTCTCAAC